GGATTAGCACTACGGTGGAGATGCGCGTAGGCCCAAGCAGACCTCAAATAAAGGTAAAGCTTTTTTTTTTTTTTTGAGAGGGAGTCTCGCTCTGTCGCCCAGGCTGGAGTGCAGTGGCCGGATCTTAGCTCACTGCAAGCTCCGCCTCCCGGGTTCACGCCCATTCTCCGGCCTCAGCCTCCCGAGTAGCTGGGACTATAGGCGCCCGCCACCTCGCCCGGCTAGTTTTTTTGTATTTTTTAGTAGAGACGGGGTTTCGGGGTTTCACCGTGTTAGCCAGGATGGTCTCGATCTCCTGACCTCGTGATCCACCCGTCTCGGCCTCCCAAAGTGCTGGGATTACAGGCTTGAGCCACCGCGCCCGGCCCCAATGTAAAGCTTTTTATTCTCGTGGAAACACCTATGTACAATGAAGAAAATGTTTTTAAGCACCTAGCAAAGGATTCGGGACTCTGGTAATGAAGCCCCAAAACGACAAGAGTCGGTCGCGTACGGTAAAACCAACAACAGGTACAAGCTCTAGTCCTCTTGGGGGCGTGGTGAGGAGGCGGCTCATCCACGCACCACTCCCGGTGTGCGCATGCGCACAGCCTTACGCAGCGCATGCGCACGTGCACTCACCACGTCCATCCCAGACGTGCGTACCCGGGTGTCTGCAAGGCTCCGTGTCTGCAAGGCTTGGTGTCCAGACTCCAGCGCCCGACCCTGCGCGGGGACATGCGCACAAGCGCTCGCCCAGCCCACCCGGACGTGCCGGCCCACACGCAGACGCGTGCGCACCTCCCCCCGCGCCGCGCCCCATCCGCGCTCAACCCCGCCTACACCTGCTCCGTGGCCTCCCCGGAGACGGTGAGCCAACCTCGGCAGCTCCACGGGGCCCTAGAGGCGCGGGCCCCTCGCCTTAGCTGGTCAACATGACTCAGCATCCTCGGTGGACTCGCCCCCCCGCCCCGAAACAGATGTCTAAAATCCATCGGCGTGGAAACGCCACTCCACGCCCCGCTCCCGACTCCTTCAGCTCAGGCCCCAGAACTGACCACCCCACCAATTTCCTGCCCCAGTCCCTCTGCCTTCTCTCCCATGACTACCTGTCCTCCAGGGCCTGCCTGATCCCTGTCCAGCGGCCCTGAAGTAAGGTCTGAGAGATGTCTAAATGCCCATACCTCAGTTTCCCCATCTTTAGAACGGGGCTCTTGTTTGCAACTGTGCCCGCCGCAGCCTGCAGTAAGTGCTAGCTTCATCAATACTCAGTGGCAGTCAGTTACTTTTCCAGGGCTGCCTTATGCTTGAAATTAAATCTTTGCTATCCAGAGTTAGGACTGTCCCTGGACTTCCTAACTTGCCTCTGCTCTCAGGTGTACCCTCTGGTCCGCTCCTCTCTCGGGGCCAGATCATCTTGCAGGGGGCACATGAAGGTATCTGGCTCTGCAGCATGCTCTCTTGGAATTTCTGGGCTAGGTTTCCTTTCGATTATCCTTGGTCAATCGCTGGTCCGGGGGCATGACCCCTCCCAGATTCACTGCCCCCAGGATCCTGGGGATTCTGAGCCCTAAGCTCTGCGATTTGCAGGACTTGGCTCAGCATATGGTAGTGATTGTAGTGACGGTGGTAGACAACCGAATATAAAATGACCTTATGGCCAGGCACAGTGACGCACACCTGTAATCCCAACACTTCGGGAGGCTGAGGCAGGAAAATCTCTTGAGGCCTGGAATTTGAGACCAGCCTGGGCAACATAGTGCAACTCAGTCTCTACAAATAATAATAAGAAGAAAATTAGCCGGGCAGGGTGGCTATGCCTGTCTTTCTAGCTACTCAGGAGACTGAGGTGAGAGAAGCGCTTGAGCCCAGAGTTCAAGGCTGCAGTGAGCTATGGTCATGCCACTGCACTCCAGCCTGGGTGACAGAGTGAGACCCTGTTTCAACTAATAAGACATAACTGGGATGATGAGCAGAGAAAGGGATTGCCTGCTTCTCCACTTCCCCTCCACTTTTTTCCTAGGACTGAAGAGGAACTGGCAGGCAGCACAGGGCTGTCATTAAGCCCAGGGTTCAGGAAGGAACCAGGTAGCCTGGGTTGATTCTCTAGTTAAGAGCAGAGTGGCTTGTTTCACATTTCTTTCTTTCTTCTTTTTTTTTTGAGACAGGGTGTCACTCTGTCACCCAGACCAGAGTGCAGTGGCATGATCTCGGCTCACTGCAACCTCCGCCACCCGGGTTCAAGTGATTCTCCTGCCTCAGCCTCCCTAGTAGCTGGGATTACAGGTCTCCGCCACCATGTCCGGCTAGTTTTTGTAATTTTAGTAGAGACAGGGTTTCGCCATGGTGGCCAGACTGGACTCAAACTCCTGGCTTCAAGTGATCTGCCCGCCTTGGCCTCCCAAAGTGTTGGGATTACTAGTGTGAGCCACCATACCCGGCCTCGTTTCACATTTTTTTTTTTTTTTTTTTGAGATGGAGTCTCGCTCTGTCGCCCAGGCTGGAGTGCAGTGGCATGATTCAGCTCACTGCAAGCTCCACCTCCCGGGTTCACACCATTCTCCTGCCTCAGCCTCCTGAGTAGCTGGGACTACAGGTGCCCAACACCACATCCGGCTAATTTTTTTCTGTTTTTAGTAGAGACAGGGTTTCACCATGTTGCTCAGGCTGGTCTCGAACTCCTGACCTCGTGATCTGCCCGCCTCAGCCTCCCAAAGTGGTGGGATTACCGTGTGAGCCACCGCATCCGGCTTCGTTTCACATTTCTTAACCTCTCTGTTAAATGGGGAGGACAACAGGGTATCCTTCATAGGACTGCCATGAGGGATACATGGAAAGGATTTAGCATGGCACTCTGCACATAGTAAACCTGGCTAGAGTAGTGGCCATGTTAGTAGTATTGTAGTATGATGATGAATGGCTTTGGATTAGTAATGACCTTTCTTCGTACTTCTCTGTTTTCTCCCTGTAGCCACTGTGACTTACGGCCCACCAGATAGGAACCTAGTTTCCTGCTAACATAGAAAATCCAGGCTGGGCGTGGTGGCGCATGCCTGTAATCCCAGCACTTTGGGAGGCCGAGGTGGTTGGATTACCTTAGGTCAGGAGTTCGAGACCAGCCTGGCCAACATGGTGAAAACCCATCTCTACCAAAAATACGAATATTAGGCTGGGCGCAGTGGCTCATGCCTGTAATCCCAGCACTTTGGGAGGCTGAGGCAGACAGATCACGAGGTCAGGAGATAGAGACCATCTTGGTCAACATGGTGAAAACCCATCTCTACTAAAAATACAAAAATTAGTTGGGCATAGTGGCACATGCCTGTAATCTCAGCTACTCAGGAGGCTGAAGCAGGAGAATTACTTGAACCAGGGAGTTGGAGGTTGCAGTGAGCCGAGATGGTGCCACTGCACTCTGGTCTGGTGACAGAGGGAGACTCCGTCTCAAAAAACAAAAACAAAAACAAACAAAAATCAGCCTGGCGAGGTGGCGGGCGCCTGTAATCCCAGCTACTAGGGAGGCTGAGGCGAGAGAATTGCTTGAACCCGGGAGGCGGAGGTTGCAGGGAGGCAGAGGTTGCAGTGAGCTGAGATCGTGCCATTGCACTCTAGCCTGGGCAACAAGAGTGAAACTCTGTCTCAAAAAAAAAAAAGGAAAAAAAAAAAAAAACAAAATCCATGTAACTTTGGAGTTTCAAAGTAAATGTGAAATCTAGAATAGTCGAAGCTTCTGGGAATCACAGAGGCGAAATTGCGAGAGGTGTACATTATGGAAGGTTAAAAGGTAGGGGAGGCTGGGCGCGGTGGCTCATGCCTGTAATCCCAGCACTTTGGGAGGCTGAGGCGGGTGGATCACGAGGTCAGGAGATCAACACCGTCCTGGCTAACACGGTGAAACCCTGTCTCTACTAAAAATACAAAAAATTAGCCGGGTGTGGTGGCGGGTGCCTGTAGTCCCAGCTACTCGGGAGGCTGAGGCAGGAGAATCGCTTGAACCAGGGAGGTGGAGGTTGCAGTGAGCCGAGATCGCGCCACTGCACTCCAGCCTGGGGACAGAGCGAGACTCCATCCCAAACAAACAAACAAAAAAGAACTCCAGTAGAACAAATACCGTTCAGCACTACCAGGGTTGTGCTAGGTGTGGAAGCTCAGTGAAATCTTAGAGTTGACAATTCTTAAAGAAGGGCCATGTGGACGGGGCTGTTCCCTGGAAAGTGCTGTGACCACTCAGTGGCCACTCATTTCTTTCGTTGTTAGCCTTTTCCTATTTTCTTTTTTTTTTCTTTTTTTTTTTTTAGACAAGGTCTTGCTGTGTTACCCACGCTGTATACCCAAGGAGTACAATGGTGGTAATCACTGCAGCCTCGAACTCCTGGACTTAAGTGATACTGCTGCCTTGGCCTCTCAGGTAGCTGGGACTCTACAGGTGTGCACCACCACATGCCCTGCTAATTTATTTTTAGTATTTTAGAAGCAGTGTTTTGCTATCTTGCCCAGGCTGGGCTTGAACTCCTGGTGTCAAGCTATCCCACCTCCCAAAGTGCTGGGATTGTAGGCAAGAGTGCCCAGCCCCAGAATTCTTACAATGACTTACAAGGTCTTATGTGATCTTGTTGCCTCCCTTTCACTCTCTGACCTCATCTTCTTTTTTTTTTTTTTTGAGACGGAGTCTCACTCTGCCGCCCAGGCTGGAGTACAGTGGCTCACTGCAGTCTTCACCTGCCAGGTTCAAGTGATTCTCCTGTCTCAGCCTCTCGAGTTAGCTGGGATTACACGCACGTGCCACCAGGCCCGGCTAATTTTTGCATTTTTTTTTAGTAGAGATGAAGTTTCACGAAGTTGGCCAGGCTGGTCTCGAACTCCTGACCTCACGTGATCCGCCTGCCTCGGCCTCCCAAAGTGCTAAGATTACAGGCGTGAGCCACCGCGCCCGCCCCAGTGAGTTTCTTCTTAATTGCAACCTGGATTCTCAGCACCCTTTTCATCTTGCTTTTCCTCAATAGCCCTTACCAGCACCTGACACACATCATCTGTTGTACTTGCTTATTTGGCACATATGTATTCACAGCGCCTGGAACACTGCCTGTAACGTGGAAGGTGTTCGAGCTGTAGAGTTTTGTCGAATGAATGAATGAAGCCGACCAGTGCACAGGGAGTGCAGTGGCGCCATGGGTAGCTCTCTGCAGCCTCCAACTTCTGGGCTCCAGTGATCCCCGGGCTCTGCTCATCCCTCTCCACAGCCACTTCCGGGCAGAAGCCAGCGAAGCGGTGGCGCAAGCGGTAGGGAGAGAGGAGCTGAGGCCCCAGATCAGTGGCCGCGGGCAAGGTCGCTTAGCGGGCACCCGGCCTGGGTATCGGGGCGCGGGTCGGGGGCGGGGCCGGGGCCGGGGCTCAGGGGTGGGGCCGGAACGGGCGCCTGCGCCATAAAGGCCGCCGCGCGCCCCCGCGCCTTGCTCGCTGCGCGCTGCCAGCGCTCCTTCCTCCTCGGCGCGCGTTCCAGTCCGCGTACCTTCTAGTCCCGCCATGGCCGCTCTCACCCGGGACCCCCAGTTCCAGAAGCTGCAGCAATGGTATCGCGAGCACGGCTCCGAGCTGAACCTGCGCCGCCTCTTCGATGCCGACAAGGATCGCTTCAACCACTTCAGGTGCGGGCGGGCCGGAGGCGGGGACTGCCACGAGCGGCGCCCGGAGCCGGGCACGCGGGGATGGGGTCTGGAGGCGGGGGCAGTGGTGCCCGGGGACCCCCGCCCCCCACCTCCAGGCCACGGACTGGGGCCCAGGCCGAGGCCGCACTTCGTCCTTGGAGTCTCCTTGGAGTGCGTTCCTGGGGGCTTGCGGCCTCGCCGGGGGTCTCGGCGCCGTGTCTGCTTCGTCACGAGGAAAAACGGGCCTCTACATGGGGACGTTTCCCCTCCCCTACGTCGTGCAGCTCCGGCCATTTGAGCAGGGGCTCCTTTCGCAGTTGTGAGGAGAGGCCCTGGCTGACGCAGCAAGCGGGAAAGGGCTGTCCCTTTCCATCCGCTCCTGGCCACATGGGCTTGGGACCGTTTGCCGGGCGGGCAGCCCGGGCGTGGGGTTTGAGGGAGCTGGGTAGAAGGGTGGAGACGTCGGGCTTGATTCCTGCAGAAGAGACCTGTGCACGACCGGGAAGTGGGAAGGAGCATTGGAGGAAATCATGGGCCGGGGTGCGGCCGAGCGAGCTCTGATCACTGATGCTGGTGGAGGAGGGGCGGGGAGCGGCTGTGGCTCTGGCCTAGACGTCCCAGTGGCCATCCCTGTCATCTGGATGGGTGCCTGAGTAACTTACGGCAGAGAGTGGAAGCTCTGGGAGGGGGTGGTCCCCGCCTTCAGTCCAGATTCCTCACCCAGGGTCTGCCTGCATCGAGGGTCTGTGAGGATGGCTTCTTTCTCTGTGCTGCTGTTGCAGATCATCCTGGTGGGCCAACAGGTGACAGACGTCACCACTGTGCTGGGTGGCCGTGGCCCTTGTGGGGCGTGGGTCAGGGGAGGATGTTTCTTTTGGGAACAGCTTCTGCTCAGGACAGGTCTCCCACTAGGGTGACCAGGGTGTGGTCAGCAGCATCTCCATCTTTCTGCAGCCTGACCCTCAACACCAACCATGGGCATATCCTGCTGGATTACTCCAAGAACCTGGTGACGGAGGATGTGATGCGGATGCTGGTGGACCTGGTAATGTTCTGCCTGGGGAGGTGTAACTGGTAACTGACAGAGTGATGGGCGAGCTGGGCTCCTGGGCGTCCCCAGGACCTTGAGCATCTTGAGTTTTTCCTCTCATTAAACCTCGGTGACCTCCTCTGTGCAGGTGAGGCACCTGCCCTGGCTTAGGTTCTAAGCAGCATCCCGGGGACCCCAGTGTCTGATGTCTGAGTAGACCCTTCCCAGACAGTGGGAGAGGGAACCAGGCAGCAGCCATCTGTCTGTCTCATTGGGGACAGCACCAAGCCTTGTGTTTGGGGGCCGACACTTGGGGTGGTCAGTTTGGGTGGGACCAGGCCTCAGTATCTTCTCTTCCTAGGCCAAGTCCAGGGGTGTGGAGGCTGCCCGGGAGCGGATGTTCAATGGTGAGAAGATCAACTACACCGAGGTGAGCAGGCCCCACATACCCTCTGGGGCCTCCTTCCTTCCCTTTGGGGTTTATCTGACTGTTAGCCGCATTACCCTGTGTCTTCACCCCTTCTCTTGGGCAATGCTTTTGCTTAATGAGGGGCCTGAAGGCCTTTTTCCTCCTGCTTTGTAGCAGGGCTTTAGGGTGTGTCTTCCACAAGATTGGCCGTCTAGGTTTGGTGAGCTCCTTGGAATGGTTCCCAGTGTCTGCCTGGGAGGAGGACATCTCATACCCAGAGGGAGAGTTTCTCAAGGCTGACATTTTCTTGGAGAAGTTAACTCTAATATATCCTCGCTGCAAGTTTTAGTAGCGACAAGAAGAATCTGAAGTCACTAAAGACTTCAGCCTACTCAAGCAGTAGGAGTCAATAGGAAACAGTGGTGAGGCCAGGCCTGGGGACCTCTGTTCCTGACTCAGTATGGGAGCCAAGCCTGGAGGTATAATGGACACTGAGCACCCAGACTCTGTCCTCATGATGTCATTATCCTCCTCTTACATGGGAAGAGTCTGAGGTTCAGAGGTCACGTCCATTATCTAAGATGTCGTAGCTGTAAGAGGCAAAGTGGAGATTCACACTCAACCTGTCTTGCATTGTGGGTCTAAGCTGAGAGAGGATGCAATCAAGGAAGGCCTTCTGGAGGAGTGCATTCACGTATAAAACGTGGGGCAGGAGTGGGGTCTGGCAGGGTGAGGGTGGGGTGGCATGAAACCTTCCACCTTAGCAAGCCTCTCACTGGGTTGGAATCCCAAGATGATCCTTTTCCTGCCCACCTAGGGTCTTTAGACCTTCCCTCAAGGACTCCTCTGCTGGCTTCAGGCCGTTTCACTCACGTAGCCGGGCCAACTGCCTGGCACCGGTCACAGACTTCAAGTCTGGTTTGGTTCCTGGCAGTTGGTAGTTATCGGGCTGCTTGGTGAGGGAAGCTTGAGTTGCATACCTTGCTGCAAATCCAAGGAGCTGAGGACACTGCCTAAAAGGTGCCAGCAAACACCGTGGACACGCATTGGGAGGATGAGGTTACTTCAGGCTTAGTGAGCACTCGTCTTTGGAAAGCGTTTATTTATTTATTTATTTATTTATTTTGACATGGAGTCTCGCTCTGTCGCCCAGGCTGGAGTGCAGTGGTGCGATCTCGGCTCACTGCAACCTCTGTCTAATGGGTTCAGGCGATTCTCTGCCTCAGCTTCCCGAGTAGCTGGAAATACAGGTGTGTGCCACCCCACCTGGCTAATTTTTGTATTTTTAGTAGAGACAGGATGTCACCATGTTGCCCAGGCTGGTCTCGAATTCCTGACCTTAAGTTATCCACCCGCCTTGGCATCCCAGAGTTCTAGAATTACAGGCTTGAGCCATGACGCCTGGCTTCTGAAAGCATTTATTGCTTGTTTCTGACATGTGTTGTCACCATTCTCTGCCTTTGCCCACTGTTGCTCTTTTCTCTCACTGTTCATGCCCTGAACACCTATGGCAGGCCCTCTGGGCCTATCCTAGGCATGTATGGGTCCCCGCCCCCATCTCCTCCTGACTGTCTGCAGCACATAAGTCCTTGGGGAGCTCCTCCTCCTGTAAGCATACAGTGGGTTCTTGGAACACGATCATGCTGCTAACAGAGACCTCAGGGCCTGCCTGTCTAGTGGATAGAGGGCCGAGCTATGGCACCATGCCCAGCTGGGAGCATGGCTGCCTGGGGTTGGGGGGACAGTCTTTACACCCTGACCCTCATCCCCAGGGTCGAGCTGTGCTGCATGTGGCTCTTCGGAACCGGTCAAACACACCCATCCTGGTAGATGGCAAGGATGTGATGCCAGAGGTCAACAAGGTTCTGGACAAGATGAAGTCTTTCTGCCAGGTAAGTGGCTACTGGGCCGGACTCGCCCTTGGCCGTGTGTGAGTATATGGGAATCTGGGATCCCTGAGGGGCAACTTTTCCCCTCTTCCTGGAGGCAGGACTCAGGCTCTCACTGCAGCTTAAGGGAGGGGTTGCCTGTGTGATCGCTGACCCTGGGGGTCTTTGCTGAGGCCTGAACTTCTCCTGGCTCTGCTCTGAAGGAACCTACTGCTGGCAGAAGTGGGGGCAGTCTCCTTCCTGAATTACAGACACCTGTGGGCTCATGGTGACAAATGACAGAGGCTCAGAATGTAAAGTGGGGCCCAAGGGGCCGGGCGCGGTGACTCACGCCTGTAATCCCAGCACTTTGGGAGGCCGAGGCAGGCAGATCACGAGGTCAGGAGATCGAGACCATCCAGGCTAATATGATAAAACCCTGTCTCTACTAAAAATACAAAAAAATTAGCCTGGCGAGGTGGCGGGCCCCTGTGGTCCCAGCTACTCGGGAGGCTGAGGCAGGAGAATGGCATGAACCCGGGAGACAGAGCTTGCAGTGGGCAGAGATTGTGCCACTGCACTCCAGCCTGGGCAACAGAGCGAGACTCTGTCTTAAAAAAAAAAAAAAAAAAAA